TTTACTGTAAAATCTCCTTCCCATTCATTTCCCTGTTGATAGTGGGTTTTCTTTTTGCATTTTTGTGTTCGTGTGCATTAAAGTGCGTCTCATAAGGTACAAGTAATATAAGTAAAATAAGTAATACAAGTAAAATAAAAGTAAAATAATAAAGTAATATAAGTAAAATAAGTAATTTTACTCGTAAATATCGTATGTGATAGAATAATTATAAAATAATTTGTACAAGAAATGTTGCAGAAGTCCAGTTTACAAAATCGAGGCTTTCAATGAATGTCTATATGTAAAAGAAAAGACATTAAAACAAAGAAAACCAGCTGGACAGGGAAAGTATTCAGTTTTGAGCAATTCCAAAAGAATATGAGAATTTCAAAGGTGCAGAAAAGGCAGAATAAATGTGAATGCAAACAGACAAATACTTTTATAATACAAACACAGTATAATAGGGGAATTATGGCAAAAAAAAATTCTAAAAATAGGAAGATGAGTTTCAGTGAGCTAAATCTGGACATAAATAGTAGAAAAAACGATCAAGGAATTAGTCTAGCATCTGGAAACTAGTCACATTATGGCAGTTGGAAGCTAAAGCCCACAAAGCAAACATCTTGCAATTTGGCGCCTACTAAATCTGTTTTGGCTAGCCAAAAAAATAATAAACATGAACATTGTGAAGACAGATTCACATTCACTGGAGTCTGAAAGTAGTATGAAAAAATTGGAAAGGTGTGAATTGCTCCATTCATCTAATATGATAACTCTGAAACCTATCTCTAGCAACCTAAGGATACCATCCTGATACTGATACCTTATATAAAGCTCAATATCATTAACCCTCTATGCAACAGAGGTGGCCTGAATACAAAAACTATTAACTATTATTTTAATAGTATTATAGATTGAATTAATTTATTTCAAAATCCTAAATGCTAGTCAGAAATCACCCATGGGGTTTTTTTCCCAAAACTTTCAAAGCCTTACAACTGACATTTTTTGTCAGATCAAATTATTTTAAAACTTTGAATGAGGGACACAAGGTAAAATACACAGAAATCTGAGTAGTACAAAGGCTACTCCAATTATGTTCTTTTTCAAGTTCATTTTTAAAATCTCCATTTTCCCGTTTTTTCTGAAATTGATGTAAAATGTCCAGATTTGTTAAAGTTAAATCCATGGACCTAATCAGAACTAAACCCTTTCACAAAGAATATGTGTGCCTTTTTCTACCACTCACTAGTATTAACTTTTCAATATTAATACTAATTTCTGTTCTTTCATGTAATATAATAATGCTCTTAGGTTTTATCATAGTCAATGGACAGTATCGCAAATGTGCAAGTTTTCTGTAAAGTTTTGGCTTTCAACCTCGGAGAGGACTAATTTGTCTTTAAGAACACATGTCTTTGCAACACATGGGCATTCTGTTCACATAAAAACTAAAAATTTAACATTGCAGGGAACTCTTAACAGCTAAGGAAGGACTGAACTTATCTAATATGTTAATTAAATTTGAAGTGTTGAGACTTGTTACTTCAAAGAATCAACAAAAGCAAAGTCCTGAGGAGGAAACTTTGCCAATAACTAGCCAAACAACATTACCTGGCATCACAGCAAGTCAGTACGTGGCAACAAGCCAACTTCTAAAGCTTTCATCAGCTGTTTTAATCACCAGAGATTATTAGTCCAACTTTAAGAAGCTTATGTGATTTATCTTCATGGGTTTGACAAAAGAAAGTCAGCAGTCATTCTGAGAGAGGCACTATTACTGTGCTCTGTGATATTATAGACTGTCAGGAAGTAATACAATGTACGTGATACACTCTGTGTAATCCTTACATTCCTGATTGTATAAGCCATGACAGAAAAGCTCTATGTGATGATGACTGTGCATTTCAGTGTGAAATTGGACATAATGCAGAACCAGTGTTCCTCTTTTCTTTCCTCCATAACATAATTGCATGTTATGGAAATGGAGAAGAACCTATGACTGAAAGAGAAAGGTTCATTCTTCTTCTTGGAAAGGTTGCATGCTTTCTCACTAGATTGTTTATTCCTGCATTGAAGTGAATAATGTAAAGAAGTAATTTTTACAAGGTTCTTAGCTCGTAGCAGAGAAATAACTGGGGGATTTTTGCTACAAACTACATTAGATTATGTGCACTACAAACTACGTTAGATTATGTGCAATACATTTGTCATAACAGGGACCACGTCAACCTCAGAAGATATACTGTACAGATCTGAAAACACAGGATGATTACAATTTCCTAAGCAACTGCCTCCAATCCTGCCCTGACAGGCACTCTTGCTTCCATTCCTCAAGTTTCCCAGAGGCGTGAGACAGCCTTCTCTAGAGATACCAAGGCTCCCTCTTGCCCCAGTGAAGTGGTACTAACCACGGTGATAAAGCCACTGACTCACAGGACATGGCAGTAGCCTTCACTGACAATCACTTCTATTCTCAAGGCAAGCAGTGATCTTCGTAGTTTACTAGATAAATAACTCCCCAGGATACTAGATTTTCCATAGTATGTATACTACAATTTACAAAGTCGAAAACAAGTGCAAAGCAAGCACACCACTTAAAGCTTAGTCTCATTATCAGATTTATAGTCCTAGAGTATCACATTTTGACAGCACTGAACTCCATGGATGAGAAAAACATACTGACTTCATAGCAGTCAAGAATTGTCCCTTCTTGATCTCTTTGGGACTCTCTTTGTGAGCAGTTAAACCTAGCCCATTACCTTCCAGACATTTAGAGCATGAACTTGCCCAAATTTAGATGAAAACAATACTACTGATATAAAAGTGTAGTCTGACAGTTTTCACAGAAACACTCTGATCTTGAATAGGATGATTTCCAGTTTCAGTTTTGGAAAGATTTTTGGGATCCTTCATAAGACAGGCTAGTTACATCAATGCTAAATACTAGAACAAAACTGATTCTGAGAGATTTTTCAAATGGTAGAGTATTTAATACCATCTGATAATCTGGTTTGACTTAAAATTTGGAATCACTGGATTGACATTCAAACTGACCAAAGATCTTAAAGGAAATGGAGAGTGGACAGAATAAGTATTTTCACTCAAGAAGGTAGATGCCTTGTTCTGCCATATTAGCCATCCTTATGTCAAAAGTTTACTTACCATTACATGTTGTTAGAGACCAGGAATGGTCTTTGACTTTCTTCATTGAAAGATCCATCATCTATACCATTTATTAAGGAGGTAGTTGTCAAAAAGATGCCTTCTTATGCTATTCACTATTAATAGAAGATGTAGAGGCAGACATTTTTCACACCCTCACAGAAGGTACATTTAGGTTACAAACATAGATCACAAGAGGAGTACTAAAGAGTTTTTTTCTTTTTTGTCCCTGCACATGAATCACCGGTAAGCAGCAATATAAGATTTAAGGCTTTATTAATAAATACCAGAACTAGGAAATCGCTGAAACTAGTTAAAAGGGCTTACTTTCTTCAGTCTCCTCTTTACTTACATGAAATATTACAGTTTTCTTATTGTACTGTATTCTTTTTCATAAAGAAGTTACCAGTTTTACACATACAAAGAAAAAAGTTACAAGTTACAGACCAGTTCTATGAATCATTAAGTTTTATGAAGTACATTCTTCTGTCTTCCAATAGATCACAACCATATTTCTTGACTGGGTCTACAAGCAGAAGGCACTGACAGTTTTATGCTCAGGACAAGATTTACAGCTTCTAATGAGACAGTCTGTGATCTACCAAAGAATGGTTCTTCAGAATTTAACCTCTGTATTGCAAAGTAAAGGTGCTATGGAAACAAACCTATTAGGAGGAAGTCTTGTGGTCTTTCTGTTATTTTTCACTCCTTCCCCCATTTTTATAGACACAAGTCTCAAGTACTTTGCAAATGCAACAACTCAGTGATCATGCAACAAAGCGACCATTCTCACATCTGTCCTACATGCCTACCAGTAAAATATGGACTATAGTACTATCATCCCTTAAGGTTCAGGTCTACTAGCTCTGGGAACACCCTGACCTCCTTCACAGCCTGGAAAACAGACAAATCTTGCATCATGGTCTGCCAGATCAAATCGCCAACTGAATGCCAGAGCAAGAGGACCGCACACAAAGAGCAGTCTGTCAACACCTCACCCCTTTTAAGCTGAAGTGTCTGCAGATAAAATTCCTCTGTCACTCATAACTGAGGAAACAGCACATAGTAAAAAAACAACAAAAAAAAAATCACATCAGACCATTGAGACCAAGGCTATCGAAACAGTAATAGCATGAACAGCTTAACTGGGACTACATGATAGTCAGAGGACTATGCAGTTTGGACTGGACTTTTATTCACTATTTGGTCTCTCCCTCTTTAACAGTCTCTTCACCTTCACACTTTTTCATCTTCTCTTGGCCTACTCTGTTTTCTTCCATTCTACATTCATTTTTTCACATTTATTTTATTTCATTACAACTTTACTTGCCCCTCACCCCCCAAAAAAATTTAACTTCAGCTTATGCTTCCTACTACCATACTGTTCTGTCTGTTCATCTATTATGACTTTTTACCTCAGTCTTAAATCACATAAATCTTAATCTACTTTACAATTTCCTTGCACTTGAGATTGCCTTTATTTACATTTGTCAGGTGGCTGCCAGAAAGGGTATAAAAATATTACTAGAAAATTCATAATTCATGAATTACTAGAAAATTCATAAGGTTCTCCATTTTGGAATTACAATTAATAACAGGCATTACCTTTAAGAATTACAAAATTCCCAGTTTAGTCTATATGCAACCAAAACAGACAGCAAAGAGAAACTCTACAAAGGACTCAAAAATTACATGGGCTGAATTATTTTAAGATGCTTTATTTTCACAGGTAATACTGAGGCCTGGTATCACATAGCATGTATACCATGACTCACAGGAGACATCTGCAAGCTCAGGTGGCTTCTTCCTGATTTTCTGCCATTGTTACTGTGGCTCTTTTGGTCATTTCTTGTTTTGAATTCTGTACATGCTATCACTCAGACAGATGATGTTACTATACATATTTTACTTCAGAGATATTTCCCACAGGTAGCAGAGACAAACAGGTTTCATAAGGAAATGCAAACAAATACATATAATAAGTCAAAACGACTGTGTGTTAAAATCCTGTCCAAATCTAAAACTTCATCATTTGATACATGTTTTTCAGTACCTAGAGTCCTTTGCATAGCATGCAACAGGTCATTTTGTGATTATTACAATTATTTTCTGCATTCAAATATGTACCAGATCTCTCACCAGGGAAAAAAATAAAAAATAAATTAAAAAAAAAGAAAGAATGACAATCCCTATTCTAAGAAACTGACAACATGGGATTGTTGTAAAATACAAGAAATTATGAAGCACAAAGTAGTGCTGAAGGAAAATAAAAGAAATACATAGTTTTGCAGTAAACATTATCATCATTGTTCCATCAGAAATTACAGCTCAGTGGCAGTAGTTGGGAATAACTTGGGTTTAGACATTCTGAATTTGAAGAACAGGCTGCAATTCACATAGACGGTACAGATTTTCTTTTGCCTGCCTTTGGGGCTGTTGAAATATTTCTTCTCTGTTCATTCCCTTCTCCACTGCCAGCTTAATCCACTTTTCATAAGGTGTTGCAACACTGCTCAGACAGAGGAAGCCCAGTTCCATGATGACAGCTGCAAAACCAATAGCTTTTCCATGTTCCACCTGTTTTATACACATGAAAACAAATCCTCTTGCAACAATTACAGGCTAAAGTGAAACAGGCTGTATAAAAATGTGCCCACACCAACAGGCAGGAGCTGAGAAGGTGAGCATGACAGTTACCTCAACTTCCTTTTCCAAGTTGTTTGGCAAGGATACTGTGAACATTATAGTCACCTAGCACAGAATTTTTATATGAACACCTGAAAAACATGAAAAGAAAAAGGAATGGAGATTTATGAATCCAATTTCTAAATCTCTTTGTGTTTAGCCAGTGAAAGAAAAAGATTTTAATGAAGAGGCACATCCTATTCATACTTAAATCTGTGTAAATCTAGCACAAAACCACTGTCTTAACAGAATTAAGACTTTACAGAATCAGTCATAATCAGACATTATGCATTTTCCTGAAAAACCTTCACACATGTTCAAATTTCAGCTTCACATTACAGTCAAAATTTCCTGGTAAAAATGATATAACTAAGCAGGAACAGCCCACGGCTTCTTTTACATAATCATTATCGTTAGTTTGCATGACTCATGGGTATGAGAGAGCAATACAGTGGCAAACCTACCTACATCTGTGGTGAATGGCAGGTGCAAAAGTCAGGCACCCACCTCTGAGTTCTTCTAGTACTTCAGTTTAGTGCCTAGTTGTCATTCACCCCCCCTTTATGTCACCTTCTTCCACTACCACTGTCAGGAAGCCTAAAATACAGTTATAACCTAATAATATATTTCCAACTAAACAAAACCCAGAAGATTATTGTCTTACATTTAACATGGGAGTGTAAATGTAAACTTCTTCAGTCAATTAACAACATTTATCCCAAGTCTTATTTTTAAATTATATAAGGAATTCAAGCCAAGGAATTCAAATTCTAATGGTATGTGGTTAATCTCTTTAGCTCAATAGAAATTGCTTGAGATAATTTAGGATGAAACATGCAAATACACATGAAAGAAATACAATTTATATTTTTAGTATACTAAAAGTTGAAAAGTTGTCTGATATACATCAATGTATGACACATTGTTTTCTCTACTTCTGCATCTGATCTCTCACAACCATAATCATCTAGGATTACCATTAAACATGTACATGTTTTTAAAGGAGGCTAATCTTACTTCAGTTTCAACTAGACAGGGTTAGACATGAAAGTCTGCATGAACAGTCCATTTCCTATTAGGACTCATGCAAGTTACCTGTCCTCTGAGGCTCCGATTTTGCAGCTGTCATCTTTCCCAGAGTTTGGGCAATGAAGGAATCTTTTGTTCTGCTGAAAAGTGGTGCATTGTTCCCTGCTCAGGTGCCCAGAACAAAAAGTATAAGAGAATACAATGAGCTTCTCTCCAGACTGGCTTAAAGGTTTTTTTTTTCTGTATGGAAGATTTTTCACTTAATGAAACTTTCCTTCCGCAGACTAAGAAAAATTGCAACTTTGTATTTAAGACCTTGAGATATAGGATAAAGATTACAAAATATTTTTAAAAGTCATTAAGTGTCTAAGCCAAAAGTAGTCTCTTTACAAGCATAACAGTAATGTTATGTTTGTATGTTTTTATTTTGCTTGAGCTATGCAGGCAATTTACTTATTTCAACAACAATAACCAGGTTATTTCCAGACATTTCCAAAAAACACTACTCGGCTGCCTTTATTTATTCTGGTTGTTAATGAGAAATCCCCACACAATGGGTTTTCCCAAATTGCGAGAGGAAAGATCTTCAGTATTATTTTTGCCTATTTTATGTACTATTTTAATGTATTCCAAAGAAAAGGGCTACCTCATCACTTCTACCTCACATTAAGATCATAAACCCAAGACGAGTTACAAAGGACAATTGACTAGCTATAGAAAAATTCCCTGTGAAACACATTCTTGGATTGAATTTCTTTTACACTCTCAGATATATGTTCAGCTCCCTGCAAGATATCACATGCTGGGGAAAACCCTCTAGAAAGAGAGGGATTTCTCTACTTTGAGGAGCAAATTTCTTCATTCTCAAGGGAGATAAAATGTCAAAGCACAGGTTTAGTAGGTGAACAAATAAAAGTCACTTCAAGGAGACAAGAGCCTGTAACACATGAAAACTGGCAGCGAGTCTGCATTAGCATTTTTGTTTGGATTGGAAATACACTTCCAGTACAAATCTCCTAATATTCCTCAGTTAACATGCTTTGATTTGCGCTACAGGATTGTCTCAAACCACCCAGAAGTGGATCCCTTCAGATGAAACTAAACCAGGAGATGTGCATCTTATTAATGCCAACACAAACCTGGGTCAGAGTGCTCTAACCAGTAATTGCCATGCAGATCAGGAGACCAGACTAGAGCTATTCTGAAATAAAATCTCCCAAACATGCACAGCATGTGTTCTAGATCCTCAAAAATCAATTGGTTTTCTTTCTAGATCTGTTATATTCTGCTTCACTGCTTGTCAATATGGTCATGCTGTGAAAGAGGCAGACAACAAATAGGCCTTACTGGATCAAGGGTACTTGCAAGGTAGCAAAAGGTGTTGCACAGCATTTGACAAAACTGAAAAGGCCACCAAACTGGCTGAAGAAAAAAACCCATTACCTGTTAAAAATGCAGTTTTCAGGACAGATAAGGATAAGCCACTTTTATTCTACCTGGCTGTCACAGTCTTCTGAAAGAATCAGCTATTCTTTTCACATTTTAATAACAACTATTGACTCCACTAAAGAAAACTCAGAGGCTTTTAAGGTTAGGAACTCACAAATGCAAGGTACACCCAGTAGAAAACACTGCAGATACTCAGGAAATATTCAGGCCAAGACCATTTTTCCAGAAGCCACATGAGCTGGGAGCAGCTTATTGTATAGAAGTGGCTTAATGCTTTTTATCTCATTTACACCCTACTGAGCTCCACCCAGCAGGTGTATATGCTCTGAATCAAAGGCATAGCATGGAAAAGCACTTGTGATATAAGCTCTGGTTAAATAGGAAATACCAGTTTGCCTCCTAAATGCTAAATAGGGTGAAATAAATCATGTTTGATAAATATATTCTGATTAAAATAGTTAAGATATTTCTTTATTGGATGCAGTGAGGTAAGGTGTTTTTAAAGGTGAATACATGCATTTCTTAGCTGCAGGCTGTCATAAGGTCCTGCTCATCACTGCTTTGTCCATTTTGTACCAGGAGATGGTGTGTAAAGCTGCCAATTCAGTACAGCAGTGTATTCATCTTGACCTCAATTGCATAAAAAAACATAAAGGTAGGTACAGGTCATTAGGTTATTAAGCCCAGAGCTTACTACTAACAGCCTTTATTATTTGATATGTGTTCATCTGTGGTTACCATGAATGCACCTTTGAAAGATGCTTTGTGAAGTTGTGGTAATTAACTATTTACCAGCAAATATAGATATAACTTATAAAACTTCCACAGTTCTGTGAAGCAATAAATGTTTCTTTTCTTACACCAGCTATATTGACCAAAATGCTTAGAGAGGTAGTAGTCACTCAAACCCTGCTAAGGAGTCCTGTGTGGTACATTCTAACAATATTCAAACTCTGTGAAGAACCTTCCTGTGTTACCCAATTGTTACCATGTAGTTACAGGTACAAGGTTTTTGTTTGCAGGATTATTCTTTCCATCCTCTCTTCCTGTCCTTTTCCCAAAAACTGATTACACATGCAAAGTACAACATATTTTTTCTCCCTTGGCTACTGCTGTTTTGCACCAGCTTGGTACAGGTGCTCAGAAGGTTTGCTATATCAGTTAGTTGATTTATCTTTTAACTTATGTAATACTAAGTAACCCTTCTAAATAATTCCCACATTACATATTTCAGATCGTGAATTTAGAAAGGTTTGTTAAAATACTGGAAATATAGACCCAACAAGATCACCCACACTCACATATGGGAACAGTATGTGGAAGAGAAAACCTTTTCCACCTTTGCAAAAAGCCATGTATCTACTAATAGAATTTGGTGGGAAACTTCCAGTAAGTACAGGCTTTTCTGTAACCCAACCTGATAGTGTTTGTTTTGCCACCTGAACGGATGAAACAGCACCCAATGGAAGTGCTTTACCTCTTTCTACATGATTGTTATATATCTGCAAGGTGAAAAGCAGACTGGTTGGACTCTCACCTCTGGAGTACACTATTTTTCACTGCAAGTCTAGTGAATAAGATATAGAAAGATGAATTTGTCTTCTGCTGATTAGGAGCAGCAAACTCACATCTATGCTCAAAATACTGCTGAACAAATCAGTCTGTGATGTGAGGTGTGAGAGAAGACATCTTTTCTTGCAATTTTGGCTGTCAGAGAGTGCAGTTTTGGACTAGATGAGATCAAATCTAATGGCTACCAAAACAGGTATCTCCACGTCTCATTTCTGTCTCCACTTGTGTGCTCTAGCCCCTTCTTTTGTGTAAATGACTTTGTGGCTTCAGGGTATCTCAGCTCAACTGACTGATCTGATAGAAAACTAAAGAAATGGAAAAGAAAAGAAAAAAAAAAGATTGGTCTTCTGTCAGATCAGCAAAGTGAACCAGTTCATCCTATGAACATATTGCTCCAATAAATTTATTAGCATTAATAGAGACAGCAAACTTCAAAATTGCGTGCTTTTGAAATTGCTGTAAAGAGTGGGGTGAGAACGTAGCTTGTATTAATTAAAAGATAGAAACATTCTGTTTGGAAGATTAGAAGATAACAAGTCGATATTTAGGGATTCTTCGGGGTGTTTTTAGTGAAAAGTTACCATTACAATGAACTTATACTCTCAGTCTGCAAAGAAACGCAAATAAAACCTTCATTATCTCTCTATAGTCTCTTAGATAATGAATTTCAGAATAAATAGTAATGCAATATAACAAACTATTTTTAAAACCGCTTGTCCTTCAATCAGAGGTGGATACAAGAATTGCTTCTACAATTTCCTAAGTTGCTTGTAACATTTGAATAAACAAAGCACTGTTGACTGGAATATTTGCAAGAAAGCTCTGGTCATCAAACTCTTTAATTATTCCAGGAAATGTAATGAGTGTTCCATACACAGAGAAAACTAGCTCATGTAAAGTTTGTGAAATTACCACAATTTAATATTACAGAGATGTCTTTATTTTTCATTAATATTTTGCACTATTTCATCAATTGAATTATCAGACATAGATTTAACAGTTTGCATTTGTAAAACAGAGACACATTTCCAAACAAATATTTCAGCTTTCTTTTTATCTCTTGACACGCTGAAATTAGTTAGTACATTAGTTACTTTCGTTAATATTTTGGGGGAGGATTGAGACATTGCTTTAAATTTCCCTTCCAGTCAAAGAAACTGCTATTTGTATGTGTAGCCCCAGAATAGTTTAGCTCTTGTTCTGCGAAGTTTTGAATTACCACCAAGTGGTAATTCAGGTAAATATAAATATCAGCTTTCAATACGAAATCAAGTACAACAGGAACAGGATGAGAAATATATAATACATACCAAATCTGTATTTGATAGTTCTTTTGCAAGTACCTGCATATATTTGCCACTAAATCATTGTTGAAAGGTAATTTTCCAAGAACAATTAGTACTCTTCAAGAACACTCTTTAGCAAAAGGACCAGAATTAGGGCACATACTGGACTAATTTTCTGATTTTAGCACCCTACTATTTAAGTTTACTGATTTCCCATAGAAATGTATTTTTGTCCACTAGCTGCAGAAAGTCATCCTTATTCTGGTGCTCAGCAGCAATTAAAGGGCACTGATGTCTAAGCAAACATTCAGCTACTAAGATATTTTTCTACAGTGCTCAAATGCACTGAAAGTTACTCCTGTGACAGCCTAAGCAATTGCATGGCACAAGTTTGTATTTATTTTAAAAAGCAAACAGAGAAAAGAAATGCAAACAGATTTAATAGATTCTCTTTATAATACACAAAATTCTGGGAAGCAGGCAGCAAGCCAGCCATAAAATTTGCCATTACACACACCACCTAAAACGCCTTTCCATTATGGCCTGTGATTTTGTTTTTACCCTTCATACTGAAAATCAAGTTGATGTGATGGAGATTTTAAGTATTCTTAAACTCTGTTTATATTATCAGTCATTTCAATATAGTATTTAGAGAGACAAAATGTTAACAGCCTTACAATTACCTCTATTCTCCATGATTTTTAACTCACATCTTTTGTGCTTTGTAAGTACTTCTCTTAGTAACACCATTTTGTAATTCATCCTTATAGCCTAACAGGGCATTCAATGACATTTGACAAGAAGGTTATCAAATACTTCAGATACTAAGCACCTAGGTACTTCAGAATATTAACATCCACTATAAAATATGAATATTTTTAAAATCAAGGACAGATTTTCAGCTATTGCTTACTGAGGAAAAATAATTTTTTTATTAATTTATGGGTTGGAACTAGATGATCTTAAGGTCCTTTCCAATGCTAACTATTCTATGATTCTATGATTAGTTTTATTATTTCTCTATTAAGAACCATAAACCCTAATTTCTATACAAGTTAGAGCATCTGCCATAGTAGGAATATAATTCTATGAATAATTCCCCTGGAGAGAGAGTGACAACATTATTCTGTAATATTTGTGATATTTGTCTATAAAGTTATAACCAGAGAAAATACACATGTTGAAACTTAGTTATGTATGCTCTTTAGGAATGTCATCCTATTAAACGACTCCTATAGCCCTAGAAGCTTTCAGTTATAAAAAGATCAGGAAAGGTAAATACTAGCATGACTACAGAACAAAATGTCACATTTCAGCCCAAGAAAGAAGTAAAAAGGAGAGAAAGACTGGCTTCTTGGTATCTGTAACCTGACCACATTATCTAGCTTTATTTCTGATCGTTTGTGCTAAATCTGTAATTTGAGTCTACTCCTGCCCTGGACCTCCTGGGCAAAAGCATGTTCCACTCATCTCTGGCATGGCCACATGAACTTCATTCTGTATTTTGCCATCTTAGGGTGACACTTTGGCCTTCTAGGCTCAAAGGCTCAGGAGCATTCAGAGTTGTGTGCATCAATCTCCATGCCTTGAACTATAGTAGAAAGTCTTCAGAGGAAAAGCCACATTGCATATTTGATACAGACAGGACACAATATATGATGACCAATAGGATTTTAAACCATGTACAATCTTCTGGACTAACTCTTCACCTTATTTGCTTGTTCAGCTCGCATAAGCAATCACTTTTCTATGATAAGCAGCTGAGAAATACTGCTGAAATACTCATAATTTGGCTAAGCTTTAGTATTTTAGACCACCTTGCAGGCTGCCTTCCTTTGAAGAGAAATGCATGTAAATCTATTGAAGATTTATAATCGTCAGTGGAAGAGTTTGAGGTTAACAAGGTTTTCTGTAACCTTATCGAACTGTAATTTGCCTTCATTTCAAATGTTGGCAGGTAAATTTTGTGCATCTGAACAGTTTTGCACCACCAGCCCTTTACCTTGAGCTGCTGTATTTTCTACCTGGTTAACCATCCTTCTTTGATCTCTGTGAAGCCTCATCAGGTGGAAGTTCTCCTAAATCCCTGAGTTTCTCTGGGCTCTGTTTGGCTTCACAATAACATCCTAAATGACGGTATACACTTAACCCCTACCTTCTTTCTTTTTCCTTTTGTTTCCCCAGAGAAATACCTGGAGAGTTAAACTGGGTATGGGTGAAAGATAGAACACCTATACTATGTAATATAATTTTTGCCATGAAGAAAATGTTAAGCTTTCTTGCAAAATACAAAGTTTTAAAAATAGCC